TGAATAAAATAAATTTACATTTTGAATCAAAAATGAGCATTACTTTTTTGGGGCCCTGATATTCTATAAAGCATGTACTTAAATTTTTCTACTATAACTATTTCTTCATAACCTATTATAAATATCCTAGTATTCACTAAAGTATTGCTCGGCAGTCTAGTTCCTTTTGGGAACTTGAAGTAGAAAAGCCAATTGTCATAAACAAAATTAAAATTATGTTTTATTATTTTACACTAGTAATTTAATTAAAACATTAAGATAACTAAATACTTGTTTGAATTCATATACGGATATACAAGGGGTGAGAGGGGTTGGGAATATTATAAACTTGATAAAATAACGTAATGTTATATATGAAGGGTTCAATGCATTGATATTTTGGGGAAACCATACGATAGCTATCGTATGGATTGACTGCATTTGTATTTGAATTTGATTTCAAACCAGTCATTAAATTATATGTATTTTTGTGCCATTTTTTAAATTAATTGTTTTAAGTGAAAAACATTTGGATTGTTTGGCCGTTCAGTCGGTGTCCCAGCGATTGGGCGTACAGTCGGTGTCCCAGAAACTATTAGGTTGACCTTCACGTGGTGTTTCTTGTTCAAACTGACAAACCTAAATTTTTTACCTACCGTTGCGCCACCTATTTATGGCACACTGTGAATCTGTATATGTGATATGCTGAAAAAGAGTGCCGAGCAATACACTAAAGTATCCTTTACATTGAATATAAAATTATTTATGTTTAACAAATAAACCGTGCCATATCATTGCATGCTATATAAACTAATTTTATGTTAGATATATGCTTACGAACTTGTTAGAAACAGTAGAGCACTAATTTTATTATAGGTAATAGTACCAAGTTAATTATTTTGCTGTTGAAGTAATTAATAATCCATAATGAATGTGACGGCTATTGAATATGAGAAAAATTCAACCGGTGCTCAGGAAAACGCCAGACAATTGGTGAGCAAATTGGTGGCCGACAACAGGTATATAGTGTCCCTGAGGGACACAATTTGTATTTTATTGTTACATTTTAATAAGATATAACCTTAGGAGCTAGGTAGGAGTTTAAATAAATGTTTTGTGTTTTGTTTAAGCGAGCTAATTAATTATGGTAATATAGGGGATAATTAATTATAATGTAAAGAATTTTTATAAAAATTATAAATTTGCTTGTTGCCTTTAATAGTCGTAAACATTGATTTTCATGTATTGATTTTGAAAATTGATCTTGTAAATTTTAATTGAGAAGACGTTTAATTTAAACGTTTCAATTAAAAATATCCGTTCCAAAGCAACTAAATTATTATGCTTACGTCTGTATAGCCATACAATTGACCATGGTTCTCATGTTAAATCTCATAGAGTGTGCGGGACAATCTTACAAATCACATTATTCTATAATGAATTGTGATTTTAAATATTAATTTAAATAACAATAAAATAAATATTTGTAAATGTTTTTGCAGGGAATACGATATAATTGTGGACATGGGTTGCGGAACCGGTTATATGACTGAACTTTTGGCCAAATCGGTGAAACACAACCGCATTATTGGTGTTGATTTTACCGCCGATTTTCTGTCGTTTGCCGAACAGAACCACAAACCTATGGATTCTGTCGAGTATTTGCTTCAAGACATGAGCAAAACATGGGATGAAATGAGTCCTGTAGTGAAGGCATTGGAGTCTAAGGTATCGCTAATTGTAAGCAACAGAGCCTTACATTTCTTTGAGAATAAGCCGCGACTAATGCATGTCATGAGCCGATTGTTGGTCAAAAACGGGTCACTTGTGGCCACATATCCGTTGACACCGGACCTCATGTCTCGCATAACCGATGAGGAGAAGCGTGCGTTTGGTTTGCAGTCCTTCCGCACGCCGTCGCCAGACCTACAGCTCGACGATATGGTCCGCGCGTGTGAGAGCACCGGCTTTCAAGTGCTGGACAAACAACTGTATCTCTACGAATGGCACCTTGATGCTAAAGTATTTATTGCTAGTATGTTAAATGATACACTTTTTTTATTTATTTATAATTAACATATAGTGAATATTAAGAATATATTATTAGTATTACATTATAAATTATTTGTAATGTTATTTTTATATCTTATTATGCTGTATATTTATATAATACTGTATATTATTACATTTATCATGTTTTATTAATATAATCACTTCAATAATTACCCGTTAATTCACATCCAGGGAAACGATTTCCGCAGATATTTGTGCCGTTAATATCATCGGAAGATAATCCGGCAAAACAGGCGTTAATCCAAAACCTGATGTTTGATGTGGCGCTCAATCCAAACGCCCGGCGCCTCAATCCAGACGCCATCGCAGAGCTCGGCTCTCCTCCAACCTTTCAAACTGTGTTTTACATTCCCTTGGTCAATTTGAAATGTATTAAGTTGTAATTAATTGACTCACAATTCAGTTGTCGATATTTAAAATGAATTTATTTAGATTAGATGTTACCTAAAAATAGTATTGCTTAAAATTATTAAACTAGATAATATTACTTTGTTTTATCTGTTATCTATTTGTTATTAATTAATTACTATAAATGAAAAAATTAATTACTTTACCAATTTAAGTTATAATAAATATTTGATCATGTTATTTTACGGTATATAATTTAGATTAGAATACATTATATTGTTGTATTGAATATGATTTAATAAAGTTAGTTTAATCATTGAAAAACATAAAGTTAAATTTACGCAAATTTACGCAAAATCAATTGATTATAAATGCATTTATAATTATTTCCAAGAAATAATGAAACAACAAAACCTGATAACAAAAGAACTGAAACATTCACGCATTAAATCCAAAATGATTTCTGACAAACAATTAGATAAACTAGTTTCCACCTATATTAATGATGATCAACTCGATTAATTTTAAAATGTACTTATATTGTTACATTTTAGTTAATAATTGTACTTATTATATACTGTATATTTTAACATAGTAACCTGAGCGACATTTGTAATAAAATTAATGATTGATAAACAAGAATACATTTTTATTATAATAAGTTCATGTTAAATTGAAAAATAATACTTGCTATTTAATAATATCGCTAACGCAAAATCTTGCTATCTAATAAATAAATAATTTAATAAATAACCGCAATTGTAGATTATAAGTTATGTTATATGTTAGACAATATATGAGTAGACGTTTCAATTGAACTAATAATGTCCATTATAAATTATACTTTACAATAAGTTAACATTTAGTGACATTTATAAATATTATAGTTTATCCAAAAAAAACTATGGTAATTATCACACATTTAATAAAATTCTTTGTTTTATTTCCATTAGTTTTCACTGATTATAACACTTGCTATCAAACGGTTGTATTGAAGTGTTTATTAACACAACGAATATACTAGAAATTTTTCATTAAAACAGAGAAAATATTATTTATTTAAATTCTTTCAAAAATTATTTGTCAATAATTAAAAGTTTATTAAAAGTAATAATAAGGTTTTTATGTATAAATAGTTATTATTGTTTTTAAATTTGTAATTGTTATAGAAATGTGTGACATATTACAAAAATTTACAATCCGTGATAAAATTCCAATAAACATTAAAGAAAATATTACAAAATTACATGTTTTTATTGATTCTCATAAGGAATATAATGTATTATTTGTTACAAATAATGATATGGTCTATGGATTTGGTGATAACAATAATGGATGTCTGGGTTTTGGACACAACAGTCCTATACTATCACCACAAATAATACCACAATTATGTCATCAAAACATACAATACTTTGTCAATGGAAGTGATTTTGTGATAGCAGTGAATGATATTAATATAATATATGGGTTTGGATGTAATGACCGTGGACAATTGGGTCGGGATAAAAATAATTGGTTATATTGGTTGACACCAGAGATAATATCATATTTTAATGATAAAAACATCGAACAAATCAGTTGTGGTAATGAACATACACTGGCCCTCACAAGTGATGGTCGCGTTTATGCCTGGGGTGCGAATGGTTTTGGACAAATTGGTTGTGAAAATTGTAAAGATATTTATACACCGATTGAAATACAATTCAATGGCTGTGTATTTAGTTTTGGTTGGAATGATTGGTGGGAAATTGATATTGCATTTAAGTTACCATTCACTAATTATAAAATACAATCCATTTATTGTTATAATTTCTCTTCATTTGCCATCACATCTGATGGACATGTGTTTAGTTGGGGTTATAATAAGAGCCATAGATTGGGACACAAGATAACCGACGATAATGTATTGAAACCCAGATTGATAGCAAACATTAATAATGTAAAGACAATCAGTTGCACACAATTTGCAACATATTTGTTGACCACACATGGTGTATACTTTTGTGGCAAATATAATGAAATAATTGTAAAAATACCGAAACAAATATTATCTGAACATCAAATCCATAATATTCAACAAATAAATTCATGGTTTTATGTTAATGAATTCATTTGTGTTTTAATAAGCGATAAAATATTTAAAATATCAAATGAACACAAACTAATTGAAACAAATTATAATAATTATATTGACGTTTACGCCAATGAATGCCAAATAACTTATAACACAATAAATTTGAAAGAATACGCAAAAATATTAACAACAAATCAAAGCAAAAATAATGATATATCACGTGATGGTAACTATAAAACCCAATTCATTGAGATGTCAGCCATAGGTTCGGGTGATTTTGGGACTGTATTTAAAGTAAAGCATAGATTGGAT